AATGAACCAAATCAAATTATTTTTTAAATACCTCTTGGGACTTTTATGATCCAAGAAAAAAAAGTTATTTGTATTACTTTCATTTTTTTAATCTAAAAAATTATGCTCAAATTGATCGCTCCTCTAATTCACTAGACTTGGCTCCAAATATTCTTTGTTTATTTTCAGTAATTAAGTTTATCCTAAATTATCCTCCAGGCTACCACTGAAGATGTTTTAAAAATAGGCTCCATATTCTAAAGGTAATTCAACAAGTAATCACAAAAACAAAGAAAAGAAAGACTATGGAATTAGACATACTTGTCAATTTTTAGGAGGACAACATAAAACCCCAAAGCTTTGGCAGCTTCCAGGAACCAAGATCTATTTAACAGCTATGTCCACATTAGGCTGAGACCATGCTGTTCTGCTGGGCTCTACCTGACTCTGCACATCAAAGCTCACCTTTGCTTGGTCCTCTAATGCCAGGACAGTGCCTACCAGTCTTCATATGCCCAAAGGGAGGTAGGGGAGCCATGATAACATGTTAAAAGCATCTGCAAGGGCATGAGTGTATGCTTCACCCCATCCCATCCTACTGACCAGGGCAAGTCCCATTAGTCAAACTGAAACAGGCTGGGAAATACACATCCTGCCTAAAAGAATGCACCAGAAATCACTTGGCCAAGAGTATGGGAGCATATGGTCTTCAGAAGAGAAAGTATGAAAAAACAATTGAAGTTGAAAAAACAAATCAAGCAGAAAGTTTGGGCACAATGGGCATGTGTAAACTCTGAGCACTTTCCAGAAATGACCTTGGAGATGGAAATAATGATTAACTGTAGGAATTACTATACGCAAATAACATAGTCAGCTCCATACCTCTTGGGTCTCCTCATATATTTAAGTATTCTAGAAATGTACACAATCTCAAGAAGGTAGACTTAATTCTTTTATTTATTCCTTTTATAAATAATTTTACATTTGAGCTGTCATAAAGTGCTTTATTGATAAATATGGCAAAAAATTAATTGGAAATCAAATATCTGCCTGGACTCATATGCAAAATTCAGCAGAAGTACTGGGCCAATGATCATCATCTTTATAAAAAAAAATATATCGAGTTCTGCATTTAAAGGAAATGTTAAATCTTTAAGATGTTTTTGAAAGTAAATTACTAATGCTAAGAGTCATGTGCTATTTATTTCTTAATTACACTACTGGAATCTTAAAATTAATTCCATATTGAGCATTGGCCTTCCTCCTTTATCTGTCCAAAGATGCTGAAGATGTTTATAGAAGTTACCTTCTAGAATCCTCTTGTCCTCAGTAAACATTGGTCTCTTATTTCACATACCTTAGCCCACATAAATAAAACAAGAAATAGGAAAAGGAAGTCCTGGAGTGACCAGAAATTGCTTATCTTCACTGTGTAGCTCATTCTTTCTTGCTACCGGTTGTTATTCCTCTTCTTCACCCACAGGAAATACACAAGAGGTAAAAATCTAAGGCAGTATCTACAGCGTGGGGTACTGCACTGTTGAGAACTAATATTAAGAGCAAGACTAAAGGGGTTTGTGAAGGGCAGGGAGCTGGGATGGTGTGGACCTTCTGCTCAGTCCTACTGACAAACTGATGAAATGTGAGCTATCTAGGCCGTTCCTGTGGCCCTCATAAGTCAATCCTATGTACAAAGGCAGCTATGCTCATGGAGAGATGTAAAACCTCCGTATTTTCCAAGGAAAATCTCCATTTCATGCTAGCTAAGGTTGTGACAATCTTAGGTGTCTCCAGGTCCCCCACAATCCACTTAAGACAAATACCTTCATGACGAATGGGCTCAGTCATGAGTTCTACTTTCTTCCTTCCCTCTTGCCTTCTATTAGACCTGGTGCTGTCAAAGTTCTTAATCATCAAGATTTTATGCCTTTATTTTTATTTTAATGTTGCCATCCCACACAGTCTCAAAAGCAATGAGGCAAGGGTAAAAAATAATACAAAAGTGAGGCACAGTTGGATCTTGCAGTCTTTTGGATAAGCAGGTCTCTGAAATTTTGAGAGTTAACTTGCAGTTTGAATGTAATCATCTTACCTATCTCTTAAATGATCAGCATTTTAATGGCAGTTCTTGCATGATACATCCAGGACTTTGACTTTAGCCATCTATTTTTAGACATTTTATTTCTTACAAGCTATACTGCTTCTCCCAGGGTGCAGCATCTTTTGAAAAGGATTTCTATAATGCTCAAAGGACAGTGGCCAGCTGTTTTCTACAGGCTGACAAAGGCCTCGGGTAAAAGCACAGCATGAGAGACTCTCTTCTTCCTTATGCTGAGGGTCATCGATACAGAGCTGAGAAAACTTCTACCAAAACTATGTAGTCCAGCTCTCTCTGAGGTTGTTGAAAATTGAGCGCTATGTTAATATCTGTCATCAATATGAGTATCTGTGCCTAACGGTGCAGGAATAGGTTAAGTGACCTCTCATGGTCATCTTCAGTATTGTATGATTCCAATTCTGCAGTGTGTAAAAACACTTTTTTCGTGCTGAGTAAATAGCCATAGAACCTGAACCAGATCTCACCAGAAGGACACGCAGCCTGGGCAGTGACGTAGCGTTTGAGGGACGTACATTCGCCAAAGGAAACAATCACAACACAATACACTGAATTCTCTTAGCTCTTCTGCTCTTTAAAGCCTGGTCACATTCTCTCTCTGCAAATCTCTCCTGCTCTGTCTCACTCTGAATAAGGAATCAAACTGAGTTTTTTCCCACAAGCCAGAGAAAACAAGTACGTGGTTCATGACAGAAACAAATTCATTACTAATATAATAAATAAAAGTATTTGCAATACAAATTAACCATGCAATTCCTTATGACATCAACTATAAATATATCTTTTTTAAACTTTTAGTAAAGAGTGATGGGTTTCATTCATACAAAAAACTCCATTTTATTTTAATCATGCATATAGCCACTGGGTGGTTGAAGAACTATGTTCATGCACTAGACCAATTTAAAATAGTTCAAAAAACAAGTAACAATATTCAGATGTATGAAAATGCTCATATTGACTGAGGTATAGGTGTTTTATATCCACTCACTCCCTATTTCATTGAAGCCTACATGAACTGTGAAATAGTCCTAAAAATGCTGTGAGAATCAGAGAGGTATGTGATGCTACATAAAATATCTTTAATTTTGTGTACACATTCTTACATCTGCAACTTTACATTGGCATGCATAGAAAACACCTTTTATTCAGGTCATCCAATAATGATATGATTCCTTTATTACATACGTGGCATTTTAAAACATCTTATCTTGGAGTGAATAGGAAACTTCATGGTCAACTTTTCTGCTTCTATTGAAAATAATCAGGCATTAAGAGAGTGTATTTTTCCTCTCAGTAGATCATTACCCCCCTGAAGGCTTATATGTATTTGTGGTTCACGTGTCTGACGAGTATATAAATGATGTTATTTTGTGCAAAATTTATATTAAAAGAGCTATTTAAATACAAGTTGGTTTCACAAGGATGTCAAAAGAATAGACAGTCACTTTTTTTTTCACTTGTGTATTTGGTATAGAGTCTCACGATGCAACTCAGGCTCATAGTGATCCTCCTGTTTTCAATCTCTGGGATTACAGGCATGTGCCACCATGCCCAGACTCAGTCTCTGGCTCAGCATACCCTGGGGGTGGGGCTAGAACAGCATGTGGGACTGGGGATCAAACCCTGGCCCCTGAGCTTGCCAAAGCGGGTGCTTAGTCCACTGAGCTATCTCGCTAGCCCAAAATTCACTTTTTAACATGCATTCATTCACTTACTTTTTAAGCTTGAATGAATGAATATAAAACATTGAAAAAATAAAATTAATGTATTTGTTAAACTCTCTAATAAATAAAGATAAGGTAAAGATAGAAAATTATAACTGCAAAATGAAATTTGACTACTATACCAAAACTCCCCCGCACCCCAGTATTTCATTCTTGTAGTTTGCTTCTAGTTTCTTGAATGCTATTTCTCAGAGGGGAAAAATAGAGATTCAGCTAAGATTAGAAGAATCAGTGTGAGACAGGTTAAGATTCAAGGAATTGGCCTTTTGTTCTGCTTCAGTGTTCTAGGGCATAAGAGAAGGTAAAGTTTGAGCATACTCTGATGGTTTTAAAGGCAATAAAAGTTCTCACAGGGCAGTCAGAACAATCAAATACCTGCCCCTGCTCCAGTATCATGCAAGGTTCTTTATTTCTGGGGCTCTACACCTTCTATTTAGAGGGCAAAAGCAGACCTCCAGGCAGGCAGGGGTTAAACTTGGGGAGGCTGCAAGCAACAGAAGGACTAATGATTTTTTAATGCCTAGTACTTAGCATTGCTCTGAACACTCGAACATGTTAGCTCACTTTATGTCCTACAAAGCTCTGCAGAATCAGATTTTTACCTCATTTTACAGATGTAGAAATGTCACAACCTGGTTAAGTAACTCATGAGTCGCCGAACTAAGAAATGCGTCCAGAAATGTCTGGGGGAGAAGGATGTTCTCACCAGTACCACATCTTCCTCTCAGTTCCCCCCAGGAAGTGCTGGGGAAAGGACACAGTGAGCAGACCTTACAATCTGAAGAAAGGAGGAAAGTGGTGGGCTTGATGGTCAGTCACAATGCAGTATCATCACTTTTTAAAAACTATCTAAAGATCTTTGTTCATATTTTAACGAGTTACAGGTGCTCCTCAGATAAGCATTTGTTACTGACTTAAGAAGACTAAATAAACAAAAAGTGCATTGTGGCTTGGAATGAGAAAAGGCAAGGTCTCATTGATTCTTCACTCTTGAATTCTCATTAGCTGTCATATGGAATTTGATGTCTGTCAAAAAATAAACAACACTTTCACCATTCTTAGCTGCTAGAGTTCTCCAACCCATCAAATACAGATTAGTCCAAAATATACTCATTGCTCCTGCTGGACGTGGTTAAAACACCACCTTTAGACTCAAAAATTCTCTTTCTTTTTCCCTTCAGGCTGCTAAAGGATGCACAAAATGAAGCTTATTTTAAAAGCTGGTACCAGAAGCTGTTGGCTGCTCTCCAGTTCTGTGTAGGAAAAGCCTTGAATGATGAATTTTCCAAGGAGAAAAAGCTTATGAAAATCCTGAGAGACATTGGGGAAAAAGTGAAGTCTGCCAGTGATTCTCAAAGACAGGTTTGTTCAGAGAACACATTTGACATCGTGATAATTATTTCTTTAAACTTCAGTTCAATTAAGTTTCAATTCCATAGTTTAGAAGGCAAATACAGTGACTGCACTTAGATATGGGCAACTTAACTCAAGCTATTTCCCATTTACTTTGCTAACATTAATGATAATGCCTATCAGCAGAACATTTTTTTTTATAAAAGTAGTTATAGAACCCATGAAAAGGACTTAACAAGGAGAAGGAGAAGGAGAAGGAGGGAGTGGAGGAGGAGGAGGAGGACGGGGGAAGAAGGAAGAGGGAGAGGAGGAGGAAGAGAAGAAGAGGAAGAGAAGAAGAGGAAGAGGAAGAAGAAGAAGAAGAAGAAGAAGAAGAAGAAGAAGAAGAAGAAGAAGAAGAAGAAGAAGAAGAAGAAGAAGAAGAA